AAATATCTGAAAGGGAAAAGAGCCGAGTAGGAGAGGCTCCCCTGAGCACACCTCCACCGCCTACTGCACAGGTGCGTGCGTTCCCAGTGGGTCCTGGCCCTGAGGACAATCAGGCTGTGGTCTCCGATGCCTCCAGGGCCAGGATGGAGGGTGGCCCACCTCCTTTAACCCTCTGTCCACCCACCCCCATCTGTGTCTTCATAACTCAATCAGAAGAGACAGCCTTGCCAGATAAACCAAGACCATAAACACAAAGGAGGCCATGGTGACAGGACCCTCCTGGGCTTCGTGGTGGGTGGGATCTCATCTGAGGTCCACACACCTCCGTGCCTCTGCTGCCTGTGCCTGCCCATCGCTGACCTTGCTGATAAACTAGGGGGGCCAGGTGGGGGTTAACTGTGCCACTAACAGAGGATCCAGGAAATGGCCTGATGGAACCGGTGAGGGAAGAGCCTGGAGGTTCATCACCACCCATCCTCCTCTAGATCTGCTCTGTCTGGCACTACTGAGCCCTTGAAAAGTGGCCTTGGGCTGGCCTTTAAGTGTAACATGTGCAGCGGATTCCAAACACATAGTATGAAAAAAATGTAATCCATCTCATTAATAATTCCTAGATTAATAACCTGTTGAAATGATAACGTGTTCAATATCAAGTGAAATAAAATTATTAAAATCATTTTCACCTATTTCTCTTTACTCTTTACATTTTACTTAACACTTTTAAAATCTGAAATTAGTTCTGCAGCTCATGTGCTGTGTCTGTTGGACGCTGCTGCTCTAACCACTTGGATTCTTTCTTCTGCATGACTGCCCTGCGTATCACCTCCAGCTCACTCACGGGGCCATCAACCATTAAGTCTAGGAAAAACCCTCAACGGTGATCTGGTCTGAAACTCTCATTTTATAGGTGTGGACACAGAAAGCCCAGAAAGGAGAAATGCTTTAGCAAACCCAGCCTCACAGCAAAAGATAGTGGGAATTGAAAGCATTTCTCATCACTAACGAGAGACTGACAGGAGTATTTCATTCATCACTGATCTTTTAATTCATTACATACAATTTCAAATATAAAATAATTTAACATATAAAGTTAGTATTGACCCCATCTGGTGGGAGAGAACTAAGCAACTGAATTTGCAACAACACATGCAAACTAAGAAATCACTCTCAGACACAAAAGATTTGAATATTTAATGTCTGTTTCTAGTTCTGCTCTCCCATGAGCACACATTTTTGGAAAACACTGGCCTTGGATCCTGTCTAGCAGCAGACAAGGCGTATTTAAGCTACTGTAGGAAGGAAACACGAGGCTGGGACTCCCTTCTTGGCCTGGGGCAAGTCCAGAGGCAGCAGCCCACGTGCTGGGCTGACTTCTGTGGTTTCCCACAGCAGAGGGGCCCTGCCCGAGACTAAGGGTGGGCATGGGATGGCCTGACCCAGAAGACAAACACAGGCAGGTTTTCTGTGTCTTTGAGAAACAGGCCTGAGACTTGGGGCACTAGACAGATTCTGAATGTGGTCAAGGTTTGTATCTCAGTTATTGAATAACAGAGCAAGACTTTTCTACTCACTGTCTTTACAACCGACTCCGCTGTAGCCAAATGCACACCTGAAATACAAGGAGCAGGAAACCGTGGTAAAGAGCCTTGATGGAGCAGGCCAGACCTCCCACCCAACCTCCGTGTC